AAATGTTTAATTATCAGGGGAAAGCGGCAAGCCATTATGACTTTATAGCACTTGGAAGAGGTTTGGATAAGGATTTTCGGATGGGACGGGGAAAGGAAGGAATGGTGCCCAACCACTTGTGGACGGTCGGGGATTGAACCCCCGACCTGCATGAAGCAAGACCGTCGTTCTACCGTCCAATCAAAGTGGCTGGACATCGGAAAAACATTTGGGATATACTTTGTTTTCATCACGTGTTTTTTTTTATAAAAGAAATCTTAGCTCTTTCTTAACATTATAAACCTTATATGAAATAAATCAGCCAATCCAAAATATATATTCTATAACTATGTACATATACCTGCGTTAGGGCATAGAATATGGACAGTTTTGACATCTTCTGGCTATGGCAGTGTAAAATATGTTTAGGACACACACAGATCACACTAACGTGATGCATCAAATGAACAAATCCACAAGGGTGGATTTGGGATGGGATGTTCTGGGATGCTCCCGGACGCAGGTTCGAATCCTCGACACGGCCCTTGTGGATTTGTTCATATATTTATGATGTATATAGAAATTTCCACAGTAAATGCATTAAGGACGTGACATTACTGCTCGCTGGCTCATCGTGGTTTAGTCGGTAGTGCCTGTGCCTATAGGGAGACGGTGGACGCAAGTTCGAGTCCATTGTATTGCCTTAATATTTCCTTATAAACCAAACAGTTTACACCAAGAGATGTAAGATTGCTGAACCTCGCGCAAAATAAACATTTTGTTTTGATCAATGAACCTCTGATAGTTTTCATTCGGTTTTGAATAAGTATTTAAACAATTCACAGTCCATGAAGCTCTACAAAAGTTGTTTAAACAAAAGCTATTATAGCTTTTTTAAGCTATAAAAATAAACTATATAAAAAACTATCATATTTTTCCGAAATGTTTGGGACAAAAAACATATTTTTGTTAATGGGTGAGCGTTAAACAATGGTCACAGACGTAAACTTTAGCGTCACTTGGGACGAAACGATTGGGTTTATCATAATATTTGAAGACGAGAACTCTTCTGAAAAATTATAATTCAAAGCCAGAGTGAATTATATTTATTTAGTTAGGGGCGAATAACTATCGGTCAATAAACATGAGTTAGCCCTTCAGGAAGTGAGGCAGTAACTAGCCTATTGATGATTAGGTTAGAGGTAGTGATTATTATATTGGGGAGAGGCATAGGCTATTCTCTCTCTCTCTCTCTAGAGAGAGAGAGAAAGAGATGCTCTCTCTCTCTCTCTCTCTCTCTCCTCATCTCTCTCTCTCTCTCTCTCTCTCTCTCTCTCTCTCACTCTAGAGACCTCTATCTCACTCTAGAGAGAGAGAAAGAGATGCTCTCTCTCTCCTTCTCTCACTGTAGAGAGCTCTATCTCACTCTAGAGAGAGAGAGAGAGAGAGAGAGAGAGAGAGAGAGAGAGAGAGAGAGAGAGAGAGAGAGAGAGAGAGAGAGAGAGAGAGAGGGAGATGAGAGTGAGAACAATAACTCACGAAAGAAATGTCATAGACATTAAAAATCCTTCAGTAAGGTCTGGGAGCGATTGCAAACATGACCACTCTTCAATGGTGGAAAAAACAATGGCTTTTGTTATGTTTGAGTTGATGGGGAATGTCCATGATTCTTACACTGAAAGCGATCCTCTGGTGTTTCTTAAAGGAATGTTTTAAAAGTATGTATTTTGGTTTAAGCTTTTATACGAAGAGAATTCGAGGTTATTGTCCTTGTCGAGAATTTGTTTGGCTTGTCTGCACTAGACAGATGAACCATGACGATACACACACACTTGTATACATAAACACATATCTACCTAAACACATACATACATAAAAGCAGATGTATGTATGTTTCGTCCACACAGTTTCATCCCACACGCAAACACATGCAAAAGCGCATATATAAACCCACTTCTACACATATAAACACATAGAATAAGATTAATTGCAAACCCACTAACTTACACATACGCGCACTAACCCCTTTACACTAACACAAAGAGTACTGGGAAGACGGGACACCACGAGCGTAGCTCTCATCCTGTAAGTACACTGAGGTCATTACACACACACATATACACATCCCAGGAAGCAGCCCGTAGCAGCTGTCTAACTCCCAGGTACATATTTACTGCTAGGTGAACAGGTGTATCAGGGTGAAAGAAACTTCGTCCATTTGTTTCCGCCTCCGCCGGGAATCGAACCAGGGCAATTAGGACTACGACCCCTAAGTGCTGTCTACTCAGCCACAAGGCCCCGCGTGTGTGTGTGGGGGGGGGGGGAGGGAGGGTGGACGGGGAGGACAGGAGCAAGTTTCAGCTCTTGGACCCCGCCATTCAACCCGCCAGTTGTCTACTAATGCAACAACTCCGGACCTATTTTTTTCTGTCATATCTACATGTACCATTATGACTGGAGTTCGCTTCTACAACCTGGTCGATTAGGTCCTTCTGTTTTCCTACAAGTCTTACGCTACCTGCACACGAGGAGTCAC